GGTGGTAATAATGGCTCAAATAACGAGGTAATGACTGTTTCTCCGTTTGTTGTTTATTATTTTCTCTGGGCTCTACTTGAGTAAAAGTACTTTTGCTTTTTGATCAATGGGCGGATCTGATCAATTGTATGGATTATACGTGCCGAGGTGTACATGTACAGCTGGAGTTAGTTATTACTTGGGTAAATTTTTTCTTTCTATTGATACAGTGACGTTACTGTAAACAACATCATTTGTATCTTCTTTATTCATCAGAAATGACTTACAAATTTAATACCTTGAGGATACACAATCTGGACTTGACACTTCTTGTACGTGTATGACTAATTACAATTTGAACAAAAAAAAAAAAATAAATAATAATAATCGGTTTATCCATCACCAGTGAAGGCAATAAAGTAGGTCAGGTAATTTTGATTCAGCACAAAGGAGAATCAATTACAAAACTAACATTAGCACTAGGCTTGAAAAAAAACCTTGTCATAACATCGATTTGTCTCACTTCTATGATTGAACTATACAACGATATTTATAGCACTTTCTCCAAAAGAATCGGGATTTAATCCATGAGGGCTCAGAACTGAATGAGGTAAGAAAAAGCAACAAACAAGGCTCGCTTCGAGCCGAGCCCGGGAAAAAGGATTGGGAAAAAAAGTTTTGGCGTCGCACAGTCTCTGAGGCGCGTGAGAAAAACGGACTGCCAAATTGGACCGGTCGAAACTCGACTTGTTACTTTCACCTCGTTTCTTTTAAGATGGATTGGCTGATCAGGAGTCAAAAATCATCCTCGACTTCCTGCCATGCATTTACACCTTGATCATACGTTTGGGATTATGAATACTTACTTTTTATGTATAATATATGCACCTACTCTGTTCAAAAATACACATTACTTGTAGATTGCAATAGTTGGTATTGAAATTTTGTCGACACAAATGACTAAAAAAAGTTGTAAGATTCTCATTAAAGCCCAAAAAAGGTAATCGATGACAATTATAATCGAAGCATCGATGTTCAATAAAAAATGTAGAAAAATCGCATTCTTCCACACCACAACGTATGGGATAACTGTTGTGCGAAAAATTACCATACTCCTCCGATAGGCTTACAGTTAGCCCGCGCATCATGAATTTCCATCGCGATATAATATACGATCCCTCTCTAGCATGCCTAGCCATCGGCATAAACGACATTTGCCGTCAAAGTGTGAAAAAGCGGGTACAGGAACGAGTTTAAAGCACCACTCTCGTGCCGATGATGCTTACATTTCAGGGGATCTCGAACGATTCTCGGAACACAATGAGCCATTCGTTTAAAAAAAACTTTACCACGTGTGCATATTGATGAGTTGTAAAAAAAAAAAAAAAAAAAAAACGGGCAATAATATAAGAATCCTCGATTCGCGTGACACTTTGGGCACGGCCGATCGTTAAATGAAAAATAGCTCCATCTATTTTAATACATACGAGCTCTTGCAACGCGTGTAAATATAAATCAAAGTACTAGCTTCGCGGTATATACCGCTACACATAACAGATCAAAAGGAGGGTGGAGGGGGGGTGGGGAGAAAAAGGAAAAATAAATCTAGTTACGTATTTGCAACGCGAAGGTGCAATAAAAGCCGCGATGGTCCCAATATAGCCTGTCCCAGGGTACGAGATCCCGTAAGACGCACGCCTCGCCTGCACACACTGCCAATGAAATGGCACGAGTAAACAGAAAACATCGACGTTTAGCCAACGACCTGGTCTTCCTTTCTTTTCTTCTCTTTCTCTCCACGTCTCTCTTTTTCTCTCTCGGTCGTTTGCACTGCCGATGAAAACGCGGTACTTGGTCTTCCTTTTTCGGTTTTAAAGAGTCAAGTCGATGATTTTGCATAGAGAATTCCGCTTTCAGCAGCTACAAGCGAAACGGACTTAATTATCATGAGATGTTGGATGCGAGATGAACGTACGTATACTCGAATCGCGAGATGCACGTGTTGGAAAAAAAAAAAATATATTAGAGTTGAAAAGTATATATTATATTCCCTAGCAGTAACGGTTTCGAGTGGTGTACAGATTTATTGCAGGTGAAAAAAAAATAAAAAAAAAAAAAAAAAAAAAAACCCCATACACGCTTCCTAATTGCGACCGTACGAGAGCTCAAAGCGTCCGATCACCGGAACGCATGGCAGCTTGAAATGCACGCGCGTGCGTAATTAATTATCGCTGGTAATGAATGCCTCGCGAAAATTATCGAGTGATTAAAATGATATTTTTTTTTATTCATGACACGTTGTACTTATGGAAATATGGGGTACGAAAAGGAAAAAAATTTTTTGTATCGCAGTCGAGAATGTTCTCGGAAACAGGAGCACTGGATCCTCGATGCTGGGATGCTCGGTGCGAGCGCAGAAACTTAGAAAATCGCGCAAAATTCCAGTCACGTCTGATCAGCTCTGCCGTTTTTTCAATATACTTACCCCGGAAAAACAAGAATCGTCATCGAAGCATCGACAACGACGATGGTAATGGGGGGAAAAAAAGAGATTGGCCATATTATCACCGGTAAATGCCTCGTGTGCGCAGCACAACAGCAGTACGGGTAGACGGACCACCCGGACTCTGCCCTGATCCCGAGAAAAGGGGGAGGGCCCCGTTCGGGCATGTCCATATAGGCGGTGCAGTCGTGGGTGGATGGCCACTGCCATCGGCTGCCTTGAATTTCAGAGGGAGATTGGCGGAGCCGGTGGTAGCTGCTGCAGCAATAGTACCTAGTAGCGGTCGTCGTCGGAGACCAGTCGACTACTCCCAGCCAGCCGCGTGGCCAACCTGTTCCTCCTCCTCGTCCTGGTTTACTTAACCCACACGCACATTCCACGTTCGCGTATAAATATGTTTTATACGTACACGCACGCGCGTTACAGTGTGTCCGTGGGCTTGTCCCGAGCGCGCGGTCGTTCGTTCTTGGCTGTCAGTTGCCGGTGCGCTTTGGTATAGGTATACGTAATGTAAGCAAGACGCGCGAGTATGTTTTCGCAAGTAGGTGACGCGCCGATCTCCCCCCCCCCCTTCGCTCCCTTGCACATGTATACTCGCCCGGTGACTTCTCTCGCTTGGCCTGCATCGTGAAAAAGAGAGATCGATTTTTCACGGGAGCCTGTGTACCGCGGACGCGAGAGGAGAGCGCTGCTCCCAGGAGATCTTTCTATTTTTTCAGGGTGGCAGCTTGTTCATGAATTTTTTTTTTCATTTTTTTTTTGTCACGCGATCGCGTTGAATTGCTTAGGATCATCGGAGCTGATGAAAAATTTTCCATGCAAGTGCGAAAAAAAAGCATAAGAAATAAAAATAGGAGACGCGAGTTGCGTATTTGTGAGCGTGAATTGTTCGGAGTATCTATTTTCTCCTGTTATTTTCCGTGAGCGCTGCGTTTAATTACAGCGAGCGATAAAAGTAGAGCAGTGACTTGAATCCAACGTAACCGAGTGTTTTAGCTGTAATTGGCACTGCGCTGAAATAACACGTTTCGAGCGTCTAATTGGAATTACCGTGTTTAATGAAATACATTGCAGTAGTTGGTAATAGTGGCGTTTTCAAAACAACCAAATTGATGCTTCGCTAACTGTTTCATCAGTATTACCGGGTAGAATATAATTTTTCCACAACAATAAATTAGAAAGGTCGAATGATGCAAAACACTCCCGTCACAGATTAAACGCACTTGCAAGCCCGTTAAATCTTTCACAGGATCTCTCGAGTCCTTCAACCCTTTTTCTAATTAAAATTATACAATTTGGCAGAAAAGATTTGGTGACAGACCCATCCCGAGTCATTCGTATGGTTTTCATGCGTTTTTTAAAAGCTTCAATATTAAAATACCTCTTGGATTTTGACTAAATTTAGTTAATTAATTTGGTTAAGGAAAAAAAACAGTTTAATACTGGACAAACATTCCCAATCGTACGATTACCCACGCAAGTCAAAGAATGAATGCCCCCCCCCTGCAAAATGAAATCAAACATGACAATTAAAAAACCTCTCTTCGCTTCTTGTAGAATCAGCCCGTCCGATCGACCACCTCAATAAGCCTCCCATGAGTGTTCACACTCAAGCGAGTTTCAAGAGCGGACGGAAGTGTTACGCAGAAGAGAGGAGAAAGAGAAACGAAAAGAAAAAAAAAAAAAAGAAAAAAAAAAGAAACAACGCCCAAACATACTTACACCATTCACTGGGCTTATTTATACGTACGTATACATACTGTAATCCTCTGGTCAGCGGACGCAGGCTCTGATAAACACGCTTGGGCGTCGCGGCAGGTGGGCCCTCTCGGCGAGTCACCCTCCGACTTGTCCAACGCGAGACGCCCACACCGACCCACGTCCCTCTTCCCTCACTCTCTCCTTCCCTTTGTTTTCACCGTATATACTTACGATTGCGTGGTTTTCTCGCTTCTACCTCGTATGCGTGTGTATGTGTGTGTGTACAATCGACGTCGCCTTTTCTCTCTCTCTCTCTCTCTTTCTCTTTTGGGTTGGTGGATGCGAAATAACAACCAGAAGGCCTGAACACTCTTTTGGTTTCAAGGGTCTTTTTCCTCAGACAATTTATTATCATTCAATAGTATAAATATGTATGTATAAAAAAAATATACAGTGCACGGATTTTCACACGAGAACCGCGTGCTCGAGCTTTCTTTTGATTATTTTCATTAAGTAGTATTAATGTTATTTAATTTGTTTGGGTATAGAAAAAAAACGCAGTCCATCGTAAAAAAAAAAAAAAAAAAGGAGTAAAAACGTAACACTTATGAAGTGGGTGTGGGGGAAAAATAAATAATTAAAGGGGACGGGGGATGAAGGGTTATGACGGTGTGGCGAGAGATGAAGGTGACTCGTGGTTTGAATAGAGCAACAACAACAACAACGACAACAACAACAGCGACCGTCACGTAAAAAAGGAAAAAAAAAAGAAAAAAAACAATAAAACAACAGACCGTCGACGATGACGAGTATAAGAGTAGTTGTGGGTCAGTCGAGTCAACTCGATGTACGCTCACGCGTGAGTTACATATATGCGTATATGGATGTATTTATAATGACGATGACGATGACGATAAAGATTCGAGAGCAGAGATGCAAGGAGGAGAAGAAGAAGAAAGTACGCGATGACTTTTGCGAAAATCATGACGATTCCGCGATCGGGAGGCGGCGGGTCCGTTAAGACGCCGCAGGGGCGGGCGCCACGGGCTTGTACGCCGAGTAGGCGAGCTCCTGTCCGGATCTGGCCCAGCCACCGCCGCTGTGTCCCTCGTGGCCGTGGTCGTGGCTCGAGACGAGTTTCTTCAGGCCGATTATCGAGGCAAGCACCAGCGCGAGTTTGCTCACTATGAGGGCCTTGCCCGCGAGGAGGGCCAAAGCACCCAGGGCCAGCGGGACGAGGGTGCCACCGATCAGCAGGGGGATCGCCAGCAGGCCACCCATGTTCTTCTTCTTCCTACCACGGCCTGTGAACAGACGGGATATTAGCTGTGGGCTTTTTCTTGATAGTTGGATTTTTTTTTTTTTTTTTGTTTTGCGTACGGCTATTATAATCTAAAACTCCTTTCGATGGTAGTCGTATAATACGAATTAATTGTTAATCAATCGTAGAGTTAGAAAATTTTTTTGGAAATGTTACCAAGTTGCTGTTTGAAAAATTTTACAATGTTAAATATCCAAACGTATGCGTCATGTACTCTCAAAAATTAATAGGAAGAATCCGTGACAAAGTTGATACCCTCAAGGGTTTAGTTTCAATTTAATTTTTTTTGTTTTTTTGTTTAAGTAGTATAACACCCAGAACAGGGATAGCTAAGTTTTTTCGAGTAAAAAAGTGATGTTTTTTTCTCATCAGAAAAAAAATCATAACTACTACGTGTTAATAAGTCAGTGAAAGCTCGATCCGATCCGATAAACATTTAATCTCATTAAAGTTTGAGAAACGGCTATCCCTAAAGCTCGCATGGTCAACTTTTGCAAGAAAAGTTTCACAAGTGTGAAAAACTAAAAGAAAGATCCACCATGTATCAACAAAACTCACCTTCTTCGGAGAGACTCCTCTGGATCTCCTCGACATTGGGGAGCTTGATCTTGAGCGTGTGGCTCTGCAGGAATCCAACAGCCTTGTCAACGATCATCGAGTTGAGGGCCTCTTCCTTGTCCTCGAGGCTCCTGGGCAGACTGGCCTCGATCTCTTGGGGCGACCTGATCGGCTCCTCTGCCTGAGCTCCCTGAGCCGCGCCGGCAGCGGGCTCGTCCTTGATCAAGGACACGCCCTCGGCTATGTTGAGCTGGGCACTGCGCGCTGCCCGTTCCATCGTCGTGAGGAGCTTGACCTTGAGGCAACTGCTGACTTCCGGGCCTGCGCAGTCCTTGTAGATCTGGTAGACGGAGCGCAGGTCACCCAATACGCCCCCGGCTACCGAAGAGCCCGACCGGCCCTGCTCCGAGTCGAGAGAGTTCGACGCGTGGGACGAGGGCTCGGCAGAGCGCGCCTGGACGCCCGAGAACGCCAGCGCCGCGACCAACAGGCAGGCCAATAGAGACGAGTGACGGTGCATGGTTGCGTTTTGTTTTTGGGTTGGTTTTGAGCTTGCGGGCTGTTGACGAAGCCTGTAACTGAGTTCAGAGCGAAGGATTTTATAATTATTATTTTAAGCTGATGGTCGGAGCATAGCTCGAAACACCGGGAGGGAAGCCTTTTGTTTTGTACGCATGCCAGGATTTTTAAATGAAACCACCCCCGAAGGAATAAGAGCCCAAGGATAAAAGTTCCAAGAGCCGGTATACATCATCGTGGCCGTGACCACAGGTGGTGTGTATCAAAGATCTCGCGTATCGTGGAAGCCATTCTTCCGCATAGCCGGCGAAAAGAATCAGTAGTAACAGCCACACGTGAGCAGACATCGTGAGCACAGCAAGAGTTCCTGCTCTGCACACGAAGGAGGAACAAAGGACAAAAAACTAATTCCGCCGCAAAAAAGTACTCAATTTCAGTCGTAAAATAAATAAATTTAAAAAAAATACATTAACATGTAGGGCCTAAGCTCGAAAGGGGGTGATAAATATTGTCGCGCGAAATCCGTACGAACAGAGTTGGAGTTTCCAAGTAATTGTTTACAAAACCACCCAAAAAATTAGTTAAAATGTAGGGAGGGATCGAGAAAAAGAATAAAGAACCGTACCTCCAAGTATGAGAGTCCTTGCGTGTATGGATCGGGCGTCGTAGCCCCGGTGCAGCCTATAAGATCCACCGATTGGAAATAGAGTGTAAGACCTCTAGTGCTCGGGCTGCGGAGAGACAATGAGATAGATACCCCTTGGAGGTACGTGTATGATCGGGCTCGTGTCAGAGCGGCACAACAACTCTAAGTGAACTGTACTAAGCGCAAGTCCTGCCCTAGCTCTATATATCCGATCGGACGTGCGCGGAGCGGCACGTGCATAGACCACCACCGCCGCCTGCAACGCCCGTTGCTCGGGTAGCTCTACCTATGTTGCTGCTAGATACTCTCTCTCTCTCTCTCTTTCTCTCTGTACTGCATCTATAAGGTATAGCAAAAGCACGAGGGGCGGCAAGGAGGGAGGTACGTGAGATAGTTACTTGCCGCGCAGCCCCACCACCGCACCCAGTACGGCAGGTAAAGAGCCTACGTACGCGAGCCCATGTCCGTTTTATTTTTTGCTCTCGTGCTGTGTATTATGCTCCATCTCTCCTCCTTGGGCGCGCAGAGCAGAGCAACCACCGGAGCGAGAAGAGAGAAAAGCACCGCCGCCGCTGGCCATACGCCATCAGCATCTTTCCCTGTACACCCGAGTGGCCCCCCGCCCAGAGGCGCTTTCCTCCTCCGCACTTGTACACATACATACATACATCCTACCCTCGCTCCGCTTACGCGTACTCTACGTACCTTCTATTACTACTACTATTGTTGTTCTTGTTGTTGTTGTACACCGTCACCTCTTTAATCTCTCATTTTTTGCCACTGCCGACGCTGTTTTCGTCGAATAAGCAGTAGGTATACAAATACACGTACTGGGGCTCTTTTCTTTCCCAAAGCGGCGCCTGTATACCAGAGCAGGTTTCGGTTTATCCGTCCGTTAGCTGGAGGCTAGGCTGGTGGGGCTTGGGTGTCGTTTTACAACCAGGGGCTTGGCATGCTCGTGTGTACACACGCAAGGGGAGTATCGCGGTGTAAACACCGGCTTTTGCGCGAGAAATGCAAGCTGTACACCGCGGGTATTGTGGTTATTTGTTTCACACGGGCAACATAATCAATGGGTTTACTCGAGGTATAATTGCGAGTTTTGAGGGGTGGCTTGACTTGTTGGCACAGTTTTTTTTTTTTTTTTTTTTTTTTTTTTTGGTTCTGTTTTGCAAGATAATGCATTTCGGAACACTTGCAATGGCAAACTGCTATGGGATTGTGATTCGATTCGAGATCTGTCTTGCCTATGAATCAGAGTTCTTACAAAACTGACACGTCGATCCCCCGAACATCCGTACACAAACCCCAAGTATTTGGATGAACTTGTAAAATCGCTTCTACCGGTTCTAATTGTGCTCCCGAGCTGATTTCCCAGGGTTTCTCGCCGCAACTTTAACGCCACCTGAGCACGGACTATTATTCTTTTTTGCTTTGCCTACTCTTCTTACCGAATATCCCCGATCGATGACCAACTAGTTTCGTGCTCCAATTAAAAGACCCCTGCTATATACGAAAAACTGAAAAACAACGACGTTTCACTTTGTGGTTTACCTCTCGGCTCTGTACATTTTGCCGAAAACCATCGGCCAAACTCGGATAAATTTACCGTTTGATAGCCTTAGATGCGACACATCAAAATCCCCCCTCCTCTGTAGCGCCGATTTCCATATAATCGCTTATTTTCGTCACCACCTTCCCCACGAACGGCATAAGTACATGCCCTATATACTCGTGCATAATGCACAAGGTTTTGTGCACTGGCCCGCGGTATTAGGGCACGGCACAGGTAATGAAAAGCAAATTTCTCCCGTTGCACCTTATACGCACTCGCATAAAATTATACACGCGTCTGCATACAGATCGCAAAACGAGATTCTCTCGCGCATACGTGCGTCACGACATCTCATCCTAATATGTTCCCCTCCACCCCGATATCTTGTGCCCGACTTTGCACTCGTTGCATACATTTCTCTCCATCTCTGGGGCTGCGTACATCTTATCGAGACTACTTCCTACCTGCCAGACTTCCTTGGCTTCCTCTTCTCTCGTTTCCATCCTCTCAGGTGCGCCTCGAGCGCCAGGCAGGCTTTTATCGTCGGGGATCCATAAGTACCCCCTCGCACGCGACATTCCTTTGATGACGCATTGGCCCGCTGGCATTGTTTTCTCCTTTGTTTTTTTTTTTTTTTTTTTTTTTTCATCCTTTCGTTGCTTCTTCGTACGTTAAAGAGGCTTGCACTTGGAGATCGCCGTACCCGCTAAAAAGTGTAATACGAGGCTAGGTATGCGTTTCGGAGGAAAAAAATTACCTTTTAATAAAACCTCGTGCAGATATGGAATATTCAGGACACGAAGATTCGGATCTCGTGGTACGCGGCAGAGAGAATGAGCATCGGGAGCTTATCTGCGCCGGGGGATCGAGCGCAGAATGCAAAAGGAAGGTTTATCGGGCTCTCGTGCCTACTTAGCGTGGAATAAACTGGAGAATCGGCGAGTAGTTTTGAGCCTTGGCGTTACGATCGTTCGGTATACATGAGAGATCTCGTATGAATATTTTCCGGCATTCCGCGTAATTCCCCCCTCCCCTTCTCCTACTGGTATCGTATTGATAGGGAAAATAATTACGATATGATTAACTGCTCGTTCGCGGCTCCAATTGCATTCTTGGTCTCGATTCGGTTTACGGGGTTGATGAGATCGGCTGGTTGCTCGCTTTGCCGTACGTATCGGTGGAAGCCAACGATAATACTGTTAACAAATAAACAAAAAAAAGGGACAAAAACCTCACAGGTGAAAATGTCGCGTTTCTGGTAGGAAACAAAAAAGTATGGCCACAACCCGTAACAGTCCGTTTTACCCGTGTGCACACTTTCTCTCTCGGAAGCTGGAAAAAGAGTATCCCAACTCAAAGGCCGATCAATCAGCAAAACCATCAAACACCACTGCGAGTGGCAATTTAAGGAAAATCAATCGTGAAAATAGACCACCAAAACGACTCTCATGTAGCTCCAACGAAGCGCAGCAGATCCGTAATCACTGGTCTCTCCTCTCCAAAGTGATGCCCCCGCACCGATCTTTCAATTGAAGGATTTTCAATTACCCCGTAGCGCCGGAGACTCGCGCGTAATATCACAATAACGTCCGTCAATCACGCAATTGCATTACATCGGCATCCACAACGCCACGTATACGTGCACATGGTCTCTAGTTCAAGCGCACGTATACCTAAAACTGATATTTGCTCCAGTTCTTGCGGCTTTCGCGGCGTCTCGCTCGTACCCACACACACGTAGAAACAGAGCCGGGACTGTGGTGCGCGTGAAAGCGTTTTTCAGCCGGTCTCCCCGCAAACGCGACGATGTCGGGAAAATTGCCGGTTCGGCGTACACACGGTATCGCTCGTGCGTGAACGCCCTTTAGCTTACGATGCGCGCGTGCAGTGCGTCGTTAGCTCGTCCTCGTCGTTACTTGGCACCTGATGCCGATGGGGGCTTGATGAGGCTCTCTCTAACGCGCTCGGTAATCGCCCCTGGCCTAGTTAGCCGCAGTGTTACATATGGGAAGACGCGCGTGCGAGATGCTGATGGCGCGGTGTTTACGGGAAGTAATGAGATGGTGCCGTTGGTGGCTGGGGTTTTGCGTTCGCTTCACCTGCCGCGCTGTTTTTTTTTTATTATCGGGGCTACGGGCAGGCTGGGATTAAATCGGAGTAACACGTTACTCTCGACGTTTGTATATGCCTATCAAAGCACCGACAGGTCGAGTGATTTTGAATTGGATCAGTATAAACTTGTTTTTTCCTCCCAACTTTGCGAAAAGCTCATTTCCGCCGATGTCCCATTGGTCGCATGAACTTCCGAGTTCGACGAACTCGTTGGCGAATGTTAAGTACTGGCAAGCATTGCAAGAACAGATACGCCGTCGTCCGCGGCAACCTTCAAAACTCTCGATCCAACGCAATGGCAGCAGCAGCCCCTTTTTCTCTCGGCAGCGGCAGTGAACGCTCTCTCCTGCTAAACGGACGCGAAAGCTCAACTGGGTCAGACGCAAGAACACCGTGAGAGAGAGAGAGAGAGAGAGAGAGAAAGAGACCAAGTGAAAACGGAAGGCAACGGCATGCCCGAGTTTTGAGTGTAAAACGCGCTCGACCGATCGAAAAAGTGCCGAGCGTGCGTGTGCGCTTCGTTGCGAGTACCTGTTCACGCGTGTACCTGACTGGTTTTTTTTTTTTTTTTTTTTTAATAGATACATTTTTTTTTTTTAGATTTCAAGGAGCAAATTGCTCATTACACATCGATGTGAATAAGGAGATCTGAAGATGCAGG